TAAAATATGTCTTGTTTCAGTGTTCAGCAAATAGGAATTTTAAACATAAAAAAAATAAGAAGACGATTTTACAATGTACAATCGTACGTTTCCTCGATTTCAAGTAAAAATACATACTTCTGTACAAAAAGAAAAAACAGGAAATGAACTTTACGTTGGCATCCCCTGCTCCATTGGTTCCTTCATTGTTGTTTCTCTTCGTTACCGACTGTGATAACTCAATTATATCTGTTGACAACCCTTATCCTTAACACGGGTGGCTGCAATTCCTTTTCTGGAAAACTAAAGTTTAATATTTTTCATTGCAAGTTGAAAGACGGTTTCTCCAGTGCCGTAAATAATCCAAAGCATTGATCCACCTAGAAAAACAACTGATGTTAGAGAACGGTTCAAAAACAAAGTAGAATGATATCAGCTTGGTCCCAAGGTGCTCCGCTGTGCTTGGTCAAACCTGGGTCCTACTGTGAGCCGTGGTGTCTAATGTTGACCAATTAAAACAAGTGCGGACAATATGATGAACCAATCAGAATCATTATTATTATTATTAATTTTTTGTAAAATCTTTTTTTGACTAATTTACTCTACTTGTCAATTGTTTGCATTAATATTAGATCTATGTAGGGGAGAGATATAATTTTGGCAAATTAGACGTGGTGTCTATCAAACACAACTTATTTTGCATCTTAGTCATTTTCCTATTTCTTACATTTCCTTTTTTATTTGAATATTCGTTCAGTCTTTTTTTCTATTTCCTATATTTTCTTTTTTCCTGGAATCGACACGGGAATGTCGGGCATATGACCTGGTACCGGATTAGAAACATTCCTTCTCAGTTGTGCTATAGCCCTGATGATTCACAACTATTAGGAGCCTTAGTGTTGATGCATCCACTGTCCCAATATACCCGGGTCTCTTAAATCTTTTCTTTCCTATTTTTCCATGTTCTCTTGCCAGTCTGCAAATGATCTTTTTCTACTTTCTGGAATTTTACACTGAAACGTTTTGAGAACGAAGTAATTCAGGATGGGTGTTTTGTTTCTCTCCCTCTCTCTCTCTCTCTCTCTCTGTCTTCCTATGGTACTTATTTTTAGGACTTGAATCCCCTGTTCCTCTATTAAGAACAGCAACTGGTTTTTTACCTACTTTCAAAGTTTTAAAGAGGGAAATAATATTATGGGCGATTCTGTTTTCTGGTTGGCAGTTTATTTGTTAAGTAGGGTAACTCCCCTTTTCCCTGCCATTTTCTTTTTCATACAGCTGGGATAAATTCGCACCCAGACTCTTCTCATTTTGTACATCATCATGCTGACGATTACCTATATGGTGTGAGCACCCAAAAGTTTTTTTTTTTTTTTGCTACCTTTTGCGGGCCCACCCATACCAAGAGGAACTTTTGTCTACTAGCTGAGGAGTTTCCATTTATTTTGCTCGCTAATTTGTCTGTTGCAGAGGTTATCTGATGTATTTTAGAGTAAGAGTTTGAGAAAGACCCGGGGGTTTTGGTTGGCCACAATTTAAGCTGGAATAATCACGTTGATCTTATCTCCTCGAAAGCTCAAGGAAAGCTTAATGTCCTTTACCGAACATGCAGGAACATAAATGATATTAGTACAAAGAAATTACTTTATATTGCTTCGGTTCGTTCGCGCCTTGAATGCGTTAGCATCAACAATTTGGAACAAGTTCAACGCAAGGCTACAAAATTCATTCGTGGAACGGATTATTCTGAGTATGAGCGCCTTAATAAGTTAAATTTATTACGTTTGAAGCATCGCAGGGAAATTAACGATTTAGCTTCCTTTTTAAGTTTCTTAAGAATATATATAAGTTAAACATTTTCCATTATGTACCGTTTCGCCCTTGTACCAAACCGCTTAGGAATGTTGATCATGTAACGCTTGATGTCCCTTTCAGCAGGACGTCTTTAAGAATTCTTTTTTTGTTCGGATCTGTCGCCTGTGGAATAAATTACTTCTCAGTATAACAGAGTCAAATACCTTTTCAATCTTTCGTAAGAATTTGATGGCTTTTTATCATGATAAGTTTAATGTAAATTTTCCCTAATTTACATTGTACTGTACTCGATCATTTGTCCATTTATGGTCATTTTTTATTGAATTTTCATTTTTTATCTCATGTCTTCTGTAATTTTTTAATAATGCTTTTTAAAATAACGTTTTATATAATTTTATTACTTAATTAATTCTCTAGATCTATTTATGATGTAATAATAGGTGGCTTATTTTTAAGGAGTCTTGCACTCTGTTTTAAGCCTACCTCGGATTGAGCGATTGATTGATTTAATTGTCATTGTAATTGTAAATCTGAAACTTGATTAAATAAAATAAATAAAATAAATAAATAAGTATTCAAGTACTTTTTATTTCCAAGACCTTTCAGTACTTTCATGTGTCAATACCGCAGGCATTTTGTTACGGTTATAGCTAGTGGATCTATTTGATCTAGAAACCTGTTTACCTTCAAAGTCTTTAAAAACTAAGTGATAGCTATATATTATATTAACCCTTCAGTTTATTTCGTTTTATTTTGCACTGTATATTGTGTTGGACGTGGCTGCATTGCAGTTTGTTGGTCACTCAATATCAGTGTTTTTAACTTTTAACATTATATTTTGCACTTTATATTTGTGCTGGACGTGGCTGCATTGCAGTTTGTTGGTCACTCATTATCAGTGCTTTTTCTAACAACTAACTTCTTATGTTTTAACCATTTTTATTTTGTTGTTATGCCTACAACGTTCACATTTACACACACCCTCCGTCCCTTCTATCTTGCCCACTGGTTCAGTGGAGACTGGGAACCCTTTCATTAGGGATCCCATACTTTAAACACCTGTAATGCCACAAAGGTTGCCAGGTGAATCTACTGTTATAATTTTTTTTTCATAAAGAGAGGCCCCGGAAAGAACTGTATCTGAGCCACGTTTTCAAATAAGCCATAAAAGGAAGTTCTCCGGTTCAAGTTGCATTAATGTAAATTGCGAAAATAAAAAATGACAATAACAATGACATTTTCCAGCAAACAAACCCATGCTTTAAATCACGTATTTTAATGTTCCAGTCTAGAAGTAAGTAAATAACACAAAATTGGCTTGAAGATTAAACTCTTTTCAGATAACCATTCATGTTCCAAGAGGCATTATACCTAAAGTAAATAAACAAAACAACAGTTAAATAAAAATATAAGGTGATATAAACGTTCTGGTGACTTTTACACCTACATTTGTTGTATCGCGCTGCTACTTATCAAACTTCGAAGGGTTTTGCGGTTTTCTCTTTCTTCAATCATATAAGTGAGGGCGGACCTTATACAAATTTCAACTCAGCTTCGCTCGCAGATGAATTCCCGGATATCGTACGATTCTACCAGTGTTTTAAGCCCCGTGTAAACGGTCGCAACGTTGTTGGCAAACAACTCCCAACATTGCCTGTTGGATGTTACATATTTCGTCCGTTTGCACACCCTGTTGCATGTTGTTGTGTGTTGTAGGGAGTTGTTACGCAAAGTTTGAGACCGGTCAAAATTTTAGCTACGTGCAAACCGACGCAACAAGGGGAGTTTTTACGTCCGTTTGCACGTAGCTTTAGTTCCCAGAGTTGTATCTGCAATCAATTTCACTTCATGGATTTACTTTAATTTGGGTATGCTCCGGAAGGAGGAATTAAGTTTGTTACCACAAGTTTTATAATTTGCGAAATTCTTCAGAAGGTTTTATGATAATGCCCATGATATGATATTTCCGTGATCACCTGGCGCAATGTTTGATCCGTTTGCACAGCTCTTCCAACATTGTTGCGGCCACGCACGCAAATTACGCATGGTCTTTAAAGTCTTATGGGTTGTATCCTTCCTACGAAGCACTGCGGGTCCCAATATTGTTGGGAGTTGTTGTGTCCGTTTCCACACCACTGCCGACGGGGACGCAGCAATTCCCAACATTGTTGGGCCAACAATATTGGGAGTTGTTGCGCCGGTCCGTTTGCACCTAGCTTGAAGCCGACATTTTAAGCACCCAGCGAGAACTAGCACTTGAATCGTCAGCTTTTGAATCTCTCCTAGACGCTGGCTAAATTTACTTTATTAATTCAATTGATTCCTCTCGAAGCAAGGTTTATACGGAATTCGCATCGCGCCTGGAACGTGCGTGATCGCCTAGGGAGGCAAAAACACAAGTTGGCTGTTTCGTGTCCGCCGTTCCCTAGCAACGAAGCCTAACCATAACCGCGACAAACTTCCCCCGGGGGTTTCTACGGTCGTTTCAGCGGTCAAGAAACGCCAGAGGTTCTTCAAAGATCACATGGAAGCGATCTGCACCATAAGCTTGAAAATAACAGCGAAATTCGAGGTAAACGAACATTTATTTTGAGTATCACTTTGCAGACGAGTTTTATTCGTCCCGTCCGTATGTTCAAATGCAATGGTTGGCTTTCTACCGCCAAAAATCTGTTATTTTCCTGAAATATAGTCTTGCATTTATGTTTAATGCGGCTCGAACAGCTTCGAAGATGCGTTTTCCGCCAGAGGTTCCAAGGGAAAATGGCTTTTAATATAATATTTTCGAGTTCATAGGGTAATAGAGATATTTAGCACCCAGATTTCTCGCGATAACGGCAAATAGCAAACGGCAGGTTCGCAACTTTGCAGTGAAGCCACTTGCCTGTGCTTCGTAGACCCCACTTGACTTCTGAACATCATGAAGTCGATTCTATAGGCTATTAGAATATAGGCAATGCGAGATGTCAGTTTTTCAAATATCTTAGAGCAAAAGTGACCTTTAAAATGTTAAACCGCGGAACGATTAGCTCTAAGTCGGTAGAGCGCTTAACTGCAGAGCGTGAGGTCGTGGGTTTGATTCCATCCAGGGGCCGGACCAATACTCAGGGTTTTAAAAACAACTGAGACATAAAGGTACTGCCCCCAATTACAGACACTCAAAGCGATTTTTGGTTTGCACCGTCTTTGAAAGGAATGATCTCTTCTTACCCAAACATGTCGGTGTATCTTGTATCCACCAAGTATTTGCCCGGGTGATCCATCAAGAAGTTCCTGAGGGTGTTCATCTTGGTGGGACCAAAGAGCCCATAGCCGAGTTCTTTTACAAGTCCTTGTCCAACCTTCATGGGAATTTGTGGATTCGTATCTTCGACGCAAATGTAGTCCCCAGGTTGCAAGAATTTGTCCAAGTACTCCAATACGCCAATCATATTTACGTGCGCGTCTTCTACTAGAAGCCACGGATGACTTAGATTCTGTGAAGGAAACCATAATAAGGTGTCTGAAGTTTGGATGGTTATACTGGCGTCCTATAGGGAAAGCAAGTTTCATAACTGGACAGAAGAAAATCTAAAAGTAATACGCACTCCCTAAAACATGTATATTTTGTTTACTTATGGAACTTGATTTCTGGTTAGGATACATTACTATTCATTCATAAATTTCTCTGTTTCTGATTGGCTCAAACCCCACGGCTTATTCTTCACAACCAGCTAGCGTTGACCAAATTTGAAAGACGTTTGCGATATGTGAAAAATGACGTCAGGAGTACAGCATAAATGCCAGAAAAATGGACAGCAACCAAAAAGCGCTGGGGAGTGAGGTTGCGTTGTTGTGGTAGAGCATTACAAAATGGTGGGAAATTTCACACGTTTTACAAAGAAGAAACAGCCTAATTACTGCCTAAATACATAGCAAGAACAACAAGAATACAATTCCAAGGACGACATTCACTATTTGGAGAATATCTGCAGAACTAACCATCCCTTAATCTCCTGGCCTTACCGAGAAACAGGCAAAAGAAGATGGAAACTTAACATCGATCGAGGTAAGCATGCCTTGTTTTAACCTGAGATCAGGATCAATTTTCGTTGGTAGCCGTTAGAGAGAATGTATGAGAACCGCCAAAATTGGGCCTGATCTCAGGTTAGCCTTGTTTTTAAACTGTGAATTTTTGTGAATGAATAAAAAACAATTATTGGATTCGACTTTGGTATGATCTGAAGAACTATGGAGATCTCGGCCTAATCGGCGGATAAAACTCCTCAATCTCCCTAATTCTTTAGATCATACTTTACCGCCTCCAGTGATTGCTAATTATAAAATTTCTATAAATGTACAATTGGGTCATTTTGTTGATTAGATGCGCGGCACCAGAACGAGACGAGTAATGAATTTGGGACTTGCTAGAAGGGTGATAAGCAGGGGGGGGCAGCGTTGGGGGGGGGGGAACTTGGAGAAGAGACGAGGCCTGGGACCGAGAAACGATGTTCTCACAACTTGTAAAGAGGTCAGCCTGCGTGGAGATCAGCGGATAATGGCAGTTTTTTTTCCCACAGTAAATATTTTGATAGAAGAGAGAAGCGAACCGGCAGAGGAAATGGTTCAAAAAATAAAAACAGTAATATCATGCATCTTTGTTTTTCTTGCATATCATATTTGTCTTTTGCTACTGAAATTGCGGGGGAAACTAAAACGCACGTAGCCGTTTTAGATCTTAACCAACAACAACGCGCTCGATCGATCTATAGGTTACATCGTTTTTGTCGGGCGAGGACATCAGAAGATTATAGAAGTTATGATGCTGATAAAAATTACTGGAGAAAGTGTCAAATTTATCGGAAGTAAGTATATTCGAGAGAACCTTATAAATATGAGCTATCATACCTGCATGAACATTCACACTTCATAACATTTCACTTCGTTTATTACGATCAGTCGACACCTTGAATTCAAAGTTGAAATTCAGAACGATCCTAACAAACATATCCCAACTACTACTGAAAGCTCTGTACCTTGAAGTGACCTTAACTTTGCTAAGGTTTGCAGCAAAACACCAGGGGCACCCAACGAGAATATAGTTCAAAACCACTTAAACATAGCATTGTTGAACGTATCTTAGTATTTAAACTGTAGATATAGGCATATTTTTATCCCCTAAAAATTTTTCATCTGTTCGGATTCCCTAGCTGAAAGTCTAGTGATCCGAAAATTATAGGGATCAAAACTTACCTTTTCGAAAATTTCAGCCAGAAAAAGGCTCCCGAAAATTCTAGGTCACCTTTTTGGGCTAAAAATCCATTACAAATGGGCAATTATACCATTTTTTAGATGTTCGAAAATCCTAGGAGAGGCAGGCAAGCAAGGAATTTTACAATAAATGTTCCGAAAATTCTAGATCTCCAATCGTCTTCCGAACAGATATTTTCCGAAAATTGACGTTGGGTGCCCCTGAAACACTGCTCGATAGCTCAGCTCTTCGGTGGTTATTATCAGCGATCAGCTATGCGCAGCTATATGTTGTATATTCCAAACTCTGCAGAGGGAAATTGTTTAACAGAAAACGAAAACCACACACTATGTCTGAAAAGTGACATAAAATCAATAAATTTGCGAATTACCAAAATATAATAATGAGAAACAGTCCCGCCTTGGGCCGCCATGTTTTTGCTCATTCTCAAAACCGTTGATCTCATTCTCGACCCCAGTGCTTTCTATGGTTTTTGACGTAAAGCGCATGATCAGTACACAATTCCGCTGGCAAGACCCTTGCTGATCGCTTTGCAAGTTAAGATTAGCCTTCATTAGTCTTTTATATGTTTTCAAAAAAACGAGCTTACATCCGCTTGAACGAAAGTTACTAATAACTGTCGAACCTCTTTTAAGTAGCCACACTCCCCCGGGAACAAGGCCCAAAACAAGGTTATACGAAAGTGACGCCAGACGTGGTGGAGTTTTAATAGTGCTGTTGTCTAAGCATCACTACAAACAGTGGCAGCTGAGGACCTACTCCTATCCAGAACACGTTCACAGACATCAAAGTAAGAAAAGACGGACCAAACTTTAACACTGTGTCCATTAATACAACACGAGCTACAAAACAATAAAACTCAGCGCAAGATACTGTTACTCCCTTAGTTTGGAACCAAAAGCTGAACTAATACTCACACGGTAGTACAGTGCGTGGCGCCAATTGCTGCGGGCCCGTAACAGTCCCCGCCTCCCCCATGAGAGATAGAACACCACTCCCGGAAATACGTCCCCTTGCAAGGGTTGTGAGATAGGGCCTACGGTTTATCGTCCTTATCCGAAAAGACTAGAAAGACTAAAGGTTGATTTCCACCGACGCCTTTATAGCTACGCACGTTAACGCGCGTAAATTTTAATCACGTAAATAAAACAGAGGCAAGATAAAAAAGTGCTGAGCTTAAACGAGAAGTTGAGCGAGGTTCAACGTTTACGCTTACGAGCGACCTTTCATGCATTGCCTCTATTTGTGAACGTACATTTTACGTACGTACGCACGTAAAAATTAAGTAACACTGGAAATCAACCGTAACCGTTTGGAATTGTCTAGACAAAAGCAGTAGTTTCTCCGGATCCTCATCTATTTAAAGACCCTGAGTATCAGTCGGGCCGGTTTTGAACCAGCGGCCTCCCGCTCTGCAGACCGGCGCAAAACCAATTGAGATAACCGATCGTCGGTTACAAACGGTCAGAAATAGAAACTTTTACAAAGAAACTGACCAAACCATCCTCGGAGACCCAGGGGCAGTCAGTCGGGTCGGGAGAAAAGGCGGGACGAAAGTTTTCAAGAACGGGCGAAAGAGCCCCTGGGTACCGACTCTCACCGAGCTGTTTCCAAAAACTCAAGCGGATGCCGGCTCCTGATTAGGCACAAAAAATGCTTTGTATTATTGTGCCCAATCGGCGAACAGTTTCTCCTGAGTTCTTTTCGTGAGTTCATACACGACGGCTATTGTCTCGATCACGGCTTGTCTGGCTCATGCACCAAAGAAATACACGCAGTCAGGAAACTTTCAGTTTGGTATAAAATCCCCACCTGATTTCAAAATACTGTCTACCCGAAAAGTAAAGACGTTTTTCCAAAAATGCAGGCTTGAGCTTACAACAGGTATCCACGCCTGCATCTGTCATGTCTTGCGTAAATATTAGGGGGTTTTTAAAAGATACCACGACGACTGACAACCACGAAAACGTCGCATGGAAAAGGGAATTCACATTTTTTCAATTACTATCGTGATTATTCCAACTCGCTTACTTTGCCAAATGCAAGCGAACTCTTCTGGAGCTGAATTTCTATCAGCCATATCCAAGTTCATGAAGAGAACGAATTTTGTCATTGCTTGTTAACGTCCGTCACAAAACATGACTGATTAGGCATTTTCACGGGTAGTCGTGCAGTTGACGGCAAAGAAATGTACAAAAAAGCGCGATGCACGTGCAAAGTTTTTTTTTTGCCTTGTCAAGCTATTGCTAATTTAACTTTCTCGTCGCCGCCACATCTTAAACTTCCAATTATTTACGTTGGTTGTGATGAGTCAAAAACAGAATATTCTCAAATTGAATTGCTCCTGTGCTCCTGCTGATGGCATCCCAAACGTTTTTTCGACTCATCGGTAGTTCCTTTCTTTCTGGTTAGGAAAGTAGAAAATAAAAGTTTCCCTTGCACGCACAAGCTTGGTGAACGAAACGAGCAAGTGTGGCAAGACGATAGCCGTCGTGTACGAACTCACGAAAAAAACGCAGGAGAAACTGTTCGCGAATTGGGTACAATAATACAAAGCATTTTTTGTGCCCAATCAGGAGCAGGTATGCGCTCGAATTTTTGGAAATATTTCGATGAGAGTCCGTACCCAAGGCCTCTTTCGTCCGGAGTTGAAAACTTTCGTCCCGCCTTTTCTCCCGACCCGACTGACTGCCCCTGGGTCTCCGAGGATGCTGACCAAACATGCCAAACTAAATTCTCCCGGCTTCAAACCATGAACAGAGGCTTGTAAGAAAAGTGAGTTCAAACTGTTTTAACGACGAACGAAAAGAATCTATCGAACTGTAAGAGGTAAGATGAAAGCAGTTAGTTGGTGCAGGAGGCAAAAAAGAAAATTGAAACACATAAAATTTCCGTGAATGCAAAGCAGATAATACACTCCTAAAGCGCGTACGATTTTCTTATTATACATAGAAAACTACCCTCTATTTGGTAATGTTAATGCACCTTGATACCTTAGCAAGTTAAAAACAACGGTAATAAGGATTTGGTATTCCTTGAGTATAGCACTTTGAATATAACCTCCACAAATGGCGTTTTACTAATAATAGTACCTTTAAAAGTTCCTCAGGCAAGCATTCTTCAACTTGAAACAAATCTCCCTGAATAAACTCCAAATGAGGGGAACTTCTGGCAGTAGCATCCAATAAAGACAAATCGATATCAACTGAAATGACACGTGACTGGCACTCAAATATCTTTAACATGTCAGCTGTCCACAAAGCCGAGCCACCCTTGTAGGCACCAAACTCAATCACAGTTTGAGGCTTTAGTTCCCACAGCAACTGCTGGTTTATCGTCAGACTTAAAGGATCTTTCAAAACTGTTATTCCTCGCCAATTCGTCATAAATTTTCCTTAAAAATAACAGGAAATTATATTGTTTAGTTTATTAGCTGATTTTTTTTATTAGTTGTAGAATATGCCAATAAATTAATTAACAATTATCGAATGAGGTTGGAATCTCAGACAAAAACCTCCTTAGGTGTGCACCAGAGACCAGACCACTCTCGGGGTATTAAAAACAGCTCCAATTTCATTTCCTTGTTATATCCTGATTCAATAAAGGTTGCTTTGGGCATTGGGCAATTGCGCATATGGAAACTATTTTTTGGTAGTCACTCAAGCAAATCATTGCAATGGGCATGGTATCCCCAAATGTAAATGCCCAATGACCCATGTTTTGGGCACAGGATTCTGGGATCGCCAGGGGGCAAACATTGCGAGTCGCTACAAAGAAATGTGTGGCGTGGAGTTGTTTCTCAGTTAAAAGCGGTGTCTTTGGACCCCGGGGGGGGCCCGTTCTAGAAATGGGCCAATTTTTTAAACCCCGTTCTAGAATTCGCTCTAAAACTGATACCCCGTTCTAGAAATGGGCCAGTTTTTTATACTCCGTTCCAGGGTGCAACAAGAGTACAAAAGTTTGCTTGTTAACGAATTGAACCGTATTTTGAAAAGCAATCTGTCCTTGAATAATTTCAAATGGCCGCTTACAAAACTGGAGCTTTCGCGCGTTCGAAATATTATACCCCGTTCTAGAAAACGCCTCTGAAATGGATACCCCGTTCTAAATCGGGGGCTTCGAAATCACGACCCCTTTGGGCGGCACATACCTGTGTATAGGTAATGTATGGGAGTACCCCCCCCCCCGGGCTTTGGACAGAGAATGCCCCATTTTGCCGTGAGTCTCTGCGAAACGGATTTGTCTAATGTTGGGGCGTTGAAATTTCAAGTTTATGTGTCATCAATGCGATAAATTCTATCGATAAAAACTTTTGTTTACCGAATTTACACAGTGATCTACATGAAGAAAAGGTCTCGAAATTAGCCTGTTCCAGGCGTTCAGATAGTGGGGAGCGGTGCAAAGTAAAAAGGAGAACGAAAAAATAAAAGCGAGGGAGGGGGAGAGGTGAGGGAGGTATCTCTCTCCCCAGTCCCCCTCTACTTTTCATCGCTTTCTTTACTTCGCACCGCTCTCGACTATCTGAACGCTTGGAACAGGCTATCTCGAAATATATAGTGCAAATTTAGGTATACATATAGGGGGATTGGCTCATTTAAGTGTTTAAGTTATAATTACGTGTGGTGATATTTATGTCGAGTGTAATAACTACGCTCGGCCGCGATGAGCGCTGTGGGCCGCTTTGCGGGTTATGACAAGACAACAATCATAGGTATGTACGTAGCCATAAAAATAAAAAATCCTCCTTTACTTTGGTATAAATAAAGTGACATCTACGATAGTACATGGTATTTAACCATTAGTAGATGAGGCAGAAATCGTACGAGCGAGTAAGATTTCGGATACAAACGCAGTCAGAGTGTGTAAATAAATACCAAGTTGATGTGCGAAATATCTTCCCAAAAAAAGATTGGAAAAGGCATTAGAACTCATTGGTGCTCTGGATCATGACAAAACATTTCGCTTGTGTGTGTGTTTTTTTTTTTGGCGAGAAGAAATCAATATAATGTGGGGAAGTTGTTATGTGTTTTTTGTTTTTAAAGTTAATACATACATAATCAAATTCGGCAATACATAAGCTTACCTTCGATCGTTGTCACAAACCGGCACAGCATTGTGATCGCCGCCGAGCGGAGCGTAACTACACTCGTTGTAAATTTGAGCACATGTAAGTACAACTGGAAAGGCTTGATTGAGTCCGCATTCCCCGTTTATACCTAAGTTAGTACTATATATTTCGAGACCATTCAGTAAATCGACCTTACGCAAGGAGTGTTTATCGATAGATTTCATGGCATTGATCCCACAAAAACTTACAATTTCAAAGCACCAACATTAGCCACCTCCGCTTCTCATAAAATCATGGCAAAATGTGGCATTCTCTGTCCAAAGACACTGCTTTTAACGGAGAAACAGCTCCAAGCCATACATTTCTATGTAGCGACTTGTAATGTTTGCCCCCTGGCGATCCCATAATCCTGTGCGCATAACTAAGGGTTATTCTTTCATGTTACGCTTACGCCAAATAGACCTACTGTGAAAGAATAACCTAACTAAGTCTCACATTACTGGAAATAGGTATATGTAACTTACCATGTGATAACGAAGAAATGATCTGATCTGTCAACACTCCGCTGTCTTGTCGGTCTTCTATTCGAACAAACCTGCCTTCGTCAGTTATTGCCTTCCTCAGCTGCTCCTCCAATTCTTTGTAATCTGTCAAGTCTTCCACAACCTCCATAATAACCTAGAGCTAGTGACAAAAAGTAAGGCAAGCAAATTTCATCATCTATATGAAAGAGAGGCTGTAGGGTTTTACTATACATTTATATCAAGGCATCTCTGGTGACTAAGGAGTAATTTAGCACCCCAGTGATTTCCTGGCTATTTTTATAATATTCAACATTTCGATAACATCGTATACTAATTTTTTCCTAGAGACTGGAATATAGTTAAAGTTGCCACAGATTGACAACTAAAGGCCAGTTTCAATATTACCTGTGATCAGCAAAATTTATGAGAAGATTTTATTTAAAAAACTAATGGAATACTTAGAAATTGAAAATATTTTGACAATCACCAGTTTCCGGGCGGTTTAATTCCGGTGACTTCGTCTGCTTTGTTCGATTGTACAAATGATTGGTATGTGAACATGGATCGTGGCGTTTGTAATCTGTATTTTTTCCTAGATGTTTAAAAAGCGTCCGGTACCGTGGATCATAAGACTATTTTTAAACAACTCATGGCTTATGGCGCCACAGGTAGAGGGCTTAACATATCATTTAACAGATCGTGAGCAAAACGTGAGGTGAATGTTATATCCTCTCAGCTAAGACAGATACGTCAAGGACTTTCTCAGGGGTCTATCCTGGAACCTCTCCTTTTCTTGGGATGTATCTGTATATTTGGCCCTGGCTCAGCCTCACTTTGTCTATTGTTTGTGACTCACTTGGCGATGTTGTGCTAGGGTGATTAAGAGCAGCAGAAGCGAATCTGGTCAATCTGTCTATGCGAGGTCTAAGTTGGCTCCAGGTCAGCTAGGGCTGAACAAAGAGCTAAAAACAAAGCTAAATTAATTTTTAAAATACTTCGTGGTTTAACTGCTTTTATAGACTGGTGAACTTACTAGTATATGGACATGTAATGAATTGGAGTAATATTACAAATTGTAACAGGGGCACTTCTTGTAAGCCCAATAGGGTTTGTTGGGAGCTCCTGTTCTTATTATATATGTTCATTATATTACTGTAAATTAGTGAAAACATCGGGCAAATCAAAAACTTTGATTGATTGATTGAAGTGATGATCATGAATTAACCAAATCACCATGAATATTTAGTATATCAGTGTATTGACTTAAATTCGGTACTCTTGATCCATTATTGTTTTTGTCTTTTATGATTTTTGTTTATCAAATTCTGTAAATTTATAAAAATTAGTTTTTGTAAAATCAAGTTGGTTATTGTCACACGAAACGTACTTTCATTAAACTCAAGATTGATTGGATATTCATTGTCTTTACCTTGTTGTTTTATTACTGCTATAGCCTCTGTAATATGATTGTTAATATCTGTAAAACTCCAAACACCTTCAGGAAAAGAAATACTTGTAAATTCTTTACCAGAATCTTTGCTATATCTTATTCACTGATTTTTATATCCAGCATTTCTGTTAAACCAAGTGAGTCTAAACTCATTGTCAAGATGAAAAACTAAGCATTTGAAAACGAAATTGGTAATGATACCAGATGGAAGGGATTGATCTTATCTCATTCGTACCTCGTACTCTTCGATAAGATCGCGACCCTCCCTTTTCCGGTTTCATATGCGAATTGGAAATTTAATTAGAAATTCAATTTGAAATTCGATTGGAAATGTAGGATAAGAAATGCATGGTTCGCGCTAAAAAATCGAGCGCAGCTCCATTCATGCGCTCTTACTATCATTTCCTATACTACTCACCTGTGTCACACATGTTCGCCACACGTGAACGGACGCATTTATATTTTTAAAGCCCACTTCAAGATGGAAACCATATAAAGCAGGTGTGTCCCTGCCGGCTAGTGCTGTTCATCTAATCTAAAATGCCAATTACATGTCCTAATTCAAACTGGATGACAAAATCACAGCTTCGTCTCAAATAAATATGTCTCCCAACTGCAAGGTTAACAAGTTTTCCAAAAATCACAAAAGACCTTTTCACGGTTTGTGACTCCATCTTGGCTGAGGGGGCAAACACGACTAAAATTACAGTGAATGTATGGGATTTTGGCCCACTTGAAACCGCTATAACGCCGCTACAAAGAGGCGAGTTTCCACAGCAAAAATGTATTTTAAAAGACATTTGTACTGAGATTATTTTCATGAAGTATAAAGAAGAGATTCAGGTTATAACCACCGTAAACGAATTCTTAAGATTTCATACAAACCCTTCTAATCAACATTATGCAAATTACCGTGAAATTAGAAGCCACATGAGAAGATTTATAATTCGAATTTACGGACGTCGTACCTTCTTTAAAAGCCTTATTTTCTATTGAATGAATTATATCTATAAAACTATTTAAAGTAGTGGCAAAAGTTGGAAATCAGCCTCTTTGTAGCGGCGTTATAGCGATTCCAAGTGGGCTAAAATCCCATACATTCATTGTAATTTTAGCCGTGTTTGCTCCCCAGCCAAGGTAGCGTCATAAACCGTGAAAAGGTCTATTGCAATCCATACAGTTCCATTTATATGAAGATAACAAAAGCTGTGTCGTTGTTTTTACTACATTTGCTTGAAGGCAGCAGTGGCATTTCTGAGATGAAAGACACTGTGAAAGCCTTGAAAAAAAATGGCACTGCTCGAGGTGAAACACAGGAATAGAGTGAAGTGCGGCTGATGCAAG